TTTTTTTTGGTGGGACCGGGGATTGAACTCAGGCCCTTGCACTTGCCAGGGAAGTGCTTATTCCACTGAGCCATCTCCCCGGCCCCAAAATACGCATTTTAAAAATCTTCAAAGTTATAATACAAAGAAAGATATATCAGGTTCCTTATACCCCTTTTACTGAAATGCATTATCACAAATCAGTGCAGTTTGAGATATTTCCTAAAGGTGGTTTTATATTTATTTGTGTTGTAATATTTCTGCAAGTTAATTATCCCCTCAAACGTTAAGGTAAATGCCAGTGTTTTAGAAGTACCTTGGCAACAAAGTATAGCACAATATTCTAATTTCAAGATTCCCATTGTATAATATCTCCAAAAATATCTCACATTTAAAAGTGTTAAAAACACAATGCTCATAACTGCAGAAGTCTGCCTAAGGAATCGCAAAGGAAACTGCTCATTCCCTGCCACGGTTATTTTGGGTGAAAATCATCTTGGTCTGAGGAAGAGACATAAAAGATGTGGTCTTGGATGGCCTCTGAGTTAGTTCCAGAGAGAAACACATACACCCTAGAGCACTAGAGAAAACTTTCAAATTCATGTAACCAGCCGTAATGGCCCCTGAGTCACGGGCCAGAGCTGGGCTAGGAGACATCTGCCTGCTAGTGCCTGATGGTCTGTGGATGGATTTGAACACTCACTACACTTCCTTAAGATTGTTTGCAGAAGTGTGAACGGACATGAGGATACACCTGAAAAGGGAGTTGGTTCTGTCTTAAAAAGGAAAGGGGAGGGGTGGGCAGCGCTCCAGAGGCATGGTGGCATTTATGAGAAGCACCCCCAAGGGATGACCACCCCAGAGGTAGGAGAGGAGTGTTGGACAGGGAAAGGGCACTTAGCCCTCAGCAGGAATGGACCCGGCGCATGGGGGAGCATGGGCCTTTGCAAAGGAGCAAATTGATCAGAAGTCTTGGAAAGACCCCCAAACCTTTCAGCAGAGCAGGGTTGAGACCCTGCAGACAGACACCAGATGAGCAGCACTTTCAGTGGTCAGAATGAAACGGCTCCAAGTGCTGAGAAGCGGGGCAACAGAAGGACATTTTCATTTCTCACCTGTTTTCCTCCTTTCGAAAATGTTTGCAGGTAGCCGCAGTGTTATGGTGGTACTACTTCTCTAAATTGGTAGAATTCCTGGACACAATTTTCTTCGTTTTACGAAAAAAGACGAGTCAGATTACTTTTCTCCATGTCTACCATCACGCCTCCATGTTCAACATCTGGTGGTGCGTTCTGAACTGGATTCCCTGTGGACAAAGTAAGCTCCTTGCTGGTCTGCAGTTATATGCTTTGGGTCTCACGAGACACGAGGGTGCCTGCCTCTGGAGTGGCCATTCCCAGGGTACCAGCAGGGAGGGGCGCCTGCCCAGGAGCCAGCCCTGCGGTGGAAGGAAGAAGGTGCTTACTTCTGGCCTTTCCATTGCAGAGGCGGGATCTGCCTCTCACCTTCAGGGACACTGTTGTTTCCCTGCGCCCAGGTGTCAGAGGGCACATGTGAAGTGGTGCTGCTCTGCCTCCGTGGAACATCATGCCTTCCACTGTCATGGGCTTCCCAAGACTCAGTCAGTTCAACTCTTGGGGCTTCTTGGTTTTACACTCCAGGTGACCCATTGGATTAATGACTTTGAATTGTTTTAACTAAGAACTGCAAATAGTACATTTAGTCATATACTTGTATGAAACAAAAATTTCATAAACCAGCATTTATCATAGCTCTTCTCGGTGCACTGTGGCTTCACTTTTTTCAATTCTGTTTCAGTTTTACAAAAGAGTAATGACAGTTCTTGTGGCATTGACTTCATGACCTGCAGTTTGAGAAGGGCTGAGCTAAAAGCAGCAGTACTTTCTGCTTTGTGCTGTCACCAAGATTTTGTAAATATTCTATGAAAAATCAAAATGGGTGAAATTTAAGAAAAATTATTTTGTCCAAGGATTTAGGAATTTGTAAAGATGACAGAAGAAAGTATCAAACATACTCGGTATATAGATGTTCTTTGGCTTAGGGTGAAGTCATACCCAATAAACTGATGGTAAGTGGAAAATACTGAGTCAGAACACTGCACCTGCCCTGTGAGCATCTGTGTCCTCGTGGGGCCATGGGCACTTTGGTACCTGTCACTGCAGGGCACAAGAAGAGATGATCAGACCATGTATTTCTAACTGGCATTTAGAATTCAAATTACGGTTTCCACTGCCTGTGTGCCGCTTCCCGATCATCAGCCTCTACTTCCAGTAACTAACCCACAGTGGCCTTTTGCCTCTTGCAGCTAAGTCCTTTTGGTAGTTAATTCACTCAGTGTCGAACATAGCAACCTCCTTGGTTTGCTTCAACACCAGGCGACCATGTTGGCATCAAGCAGAAAGAAAACTTTTGGTAAAGATGTTGCCTGGGGATGGGGTTTTAAATAGCCCTGTCCTCACAGCCCCTTAGCTGGACCTTCTCTCTCCCCCAGGCCCTCTCACTTGCCAGCACCATCTGACTCCGAAGTCCCTTAAGACAGAAATTGTTGACATATGTATGAAGAAATGTATTCTTGTCCTTGTAGCACCCTGGTCAGCCATGTGTAAAAGACTAGGGGTTTTGGTTTTTTTTTTTTTTTTTTTTTTGGTGGGGGGAGTTAAATTGTGCTAGGGATTGAACCCATGAGCTTGTGTGTGCTGGGGTAGCACTCCACCACTGAATACAGTCCAGCCCACAAAAGGCTCTTTCTGCAATTTAAATGCCTCATCCCAAGTTCAGCCAAAACAAAAATAATTTTTGCAGACTTCTGCCACTAGCTGTAAGCTAACATTTCTTTTTCTTTTTGATTAGCTGACAGTAATTACAGTAAGAGAGATACTGAAACCTTTGTGAATAAATTGTTTGACACTCTAGCTGAAACCCTGGCCTGGTTTAATCCTCCTACCTAGGCACTGTTGTGCAGTCCTAGAGTAACAGCACAGAAAGCGGGGCATTTCTCAGTGTGAATGTTACGTGACTGTCCTGTGCCTACTGCTTCATCGTAATGCTCCAAAGAATCCTGTGAGCAAGGATGCTCGGTCTTGCTGTCGGCGGGAGTAACTCTTCTCCCGTGTGTCTACAGGCTTTTTCGGGCCAACACTGAACAGTTTCATCCACATCCTCATGTACTCCTACTACGGGCTCTCGGTGTTCCCGTCGATGCACAAGTACCTCTGGTGGAAGAAATACCTCACGCAGGCCCAGCTGGTATGTCATGGCTGCTCCAGTCTTCTCCATGTAGCCAGAGATGGAGAAAAGGTAGTCTCACCTCCTGAGACAGCAGAGACTTCTCAGTTGGTGACGAGGTTATTTTTCTCTGAAAATGGCCTTTTAAGAATTGCACTTTATGCATTAAAATGTCATTGGGTATGCAATGATTATGGGAAGTTCCTTGCTTTGAAATATAAAAGTGAATATTTTAATGTATAAATTAAATTTAATTTTTTCTTATTTTATTGAGAAAGAAATAGCAATGAGATAGTTTCAAAACAGATTAGTAGGACAGTTACAATAATTACTACATTGCATATTCTTGTCTTCATAGTTATTCAGAGTATAAGATGCATGTTATCTTGTCTGAACACCATTAGAACAAATCTTTCTTCTCACTGAACTAAGAGAAAGTTGCTGTATATCTATCCTATTTTGTATATACAGATTTTTTTTTTCACTACAAGATGGTCCTTCATTTATATCCCCCCTTTTTGTTTAGTTTTGCCAGAGATGGGTGTCCCACTGTAGGTGCATGAATTCAGCAAAATAATCCAATATAGTCCAGTGATCCATAATAGTAGTGGGTTATCCACGGAACTGGCAGTGTCAGAAGTTGTTGACTTGAGACTTTTACAGTTCAGCATATTGATGTGGCTTTACTTTTTATACCTCATTTTTATACTTTTCTGCTGGACAGTTAAGATCAATATAGAGCAAGACCTGTATAACAAAAATATAACTTTTGTATCTGACAAGGTCAGTCAAATCCCCTCAGGATTTACCCTCAAACCCTGTAGGGCAGTTTGTAGATCCTTTGTCAGTGTCAGCCATGTGGATGAGTCTCGGCCATTGCTTGACCAACTTGCTCTCTGTGAAAGCCTGAGAGAATGTTTTCTCTCTAGGTGAGTCTCCTTAGACACACTCTACATCGTCGATCACTTTCTTCTGTGACCCCTAATTTCCTTGAACAGACATTAAATTGTTTTAAAATAAATCTAGCTACTACTTTTTTGTAAAAAAACTATAACAAATAATATAACTTACTAATATTCATTTCAAATAAAATTTCTGGAGAGGATAGTGGGCTACTTTAGTACTTTGCTAGTTTTATTCCTACAGAATGCAAAAATTAAAAAATGCAGGCTGCAGTAGCTGTGAGGTAAACTGAGGCCACTGCGCTGTGGCCTGCGTGTGCGCCCGCGTCACTCACCTTCACCCCTCCCCCCAGGTGCAGTTCCTGCTCACCATTACGCACACGCTGAGTGCCGTTGTGAAGCCCTGCGGCTTCCCCTTTGGCTGCCTCATCTTCCAGTCCTCTTACATGATGACCCTGGTCATCCTGTTCTTAAATTTTTACTTCCAGGTACGTGAAATGTGAATGTTCAGTGGTCATAGAATGTGTACTTTTCATTATATATTTTACTGATTAAATATAGTACAAACTTTGGGTAAATTCACATAAGAGTCTACTGAGGAAAACCACATGCTTAACTCCTCTCCTTCCCCACTATCCTGGAAGAGTGACCACAGCTCCTGGGAATGCACAGGGGGCATTCTGTTAGAACTTCACACGCAGGCACTGAAAACTGTTCCTGAAAACCATCGGTGACTTATAAAGCATTTTCAGTTTGCATCATGTATTATTAGCAGTGTGCTGCTAAAATCTGGAGAAATAAGGGTAAATCGGTACAGTAAGACAGATCCGAGAAAACTTACACTTCTCGGAGAATACCTTTGGGAATGGTAATTTATTAAATTCAGTAAGCTCCTGTCAGCTACTTTGATGTTGTAGACTCACTATTTGAGGAAAAAATTCTTTTAATTCCATACGGGAAGGTCACACTGACCTTTTCTTTATTCAAGTGTCATTTTCTTTTTAATTAACAATTTAAATGGGAGAGAGCTTCAAAGTGCTTCTGTTGTCCAAGTACCCAGGACACATGACAGAGTGCAGGCCTCCCGTGGTTGTGCGTTTAAGTTGCTTCCTTCATGAACTGGGGAAATGGACAGCTTCGTTGAAAAACGAGAACATACGTTTATATTGAAAACAGTACTTTGAGGTCGTATTCAATCATATTTGCCTCCTCAGACAAATGGGTGCTCTCTAATTTTTCAGTTTGCATTTGCTGACAGTTAACCCACACTAGTTTTATACAGTTTCAGAAACTAAACTTTGACAGCTTTTCTGATCCAATATTGTGTGTATCTGAAATTGGGCTGACTAGGCCTTTTTTCTTATAAGAGAATTTCGAAGTAACCATCAATGAATCCAAAGATGTGCGCACACACGAGGGAAGCTTCAGGATTGCTTTTTGTGCTAACACTGGAAGAGAAGCAGATAGCAGGGGCAGGTTACAGCATTCAAAACTTTAGCCCCACATGATGGTTCACGCTAAATCTTAGGCCTAAAACTCACTAGATAATCTCAGCCTTAGGCCAGATATCTCCGCAGACTAAAGCACCTGCTTAGGCAGAGCGTAGTGGTTAGATCCCCTGCATGCTGTGCCAGCCCCACCCCCCAGGCACACTGAGACAGATTGAGACTGGGCATGGTGGCACACGCCTGTACTCCCAGCTCTTGGGAGGCTGAAAACAAGAGGATCCCTACAAGTCCGATCTACACAGTGAGACCCTGTAGACTCTGTACTATAAAAAAAAAAAGGTTGGAGCAGAACATTTTTTTTTCTAGCACTGATTATTCCTCACTAATTCTTCCTTTTGAGCAATCTATCCAATTCATCATGACTCATGTTATTTTCCAGTATTCCTATAGGGACAGGGACTATTCCAAGTTCTCTGTATATGCTTGGTATTATTCCTTTTAATTATCTTGTATAACTCTTTTCCTGGCCTCTAGTAGTGTCTTTACCCATCCATACGCTATTGAATACTCAATGGCAACCCACTTAGCTCTCTTTCTGTGTAGTTCTCTCCTTCCTGGTATTCTTTGCTATCGTATCTGGCTGTTCTAAGATCCTAAAGGGTAGATCTCGGCTCTGCCCTCCCAACTGAGGGATCCTTCTGGACTCTACCTCCTCTTCTCTGGGCCAGAGCTAGAAATTCAAGTCTTAAATCAGTAACCTAGGAGAACCCTCGAGTTTACTTATCTTCTCATTCTCAGAAATCTCTTTTTCTATCTGGTTTTTAGTGCCTTATAAAACCATTTTATATATTTAGTCCAAAATTTATTTTATGTAGGAAGATAAATTTGGTCTCTGTTATTCTATATTGGCCAGAATTGAAAATACCAAATATCAGTTTTTAAATTTATATAAATTAAATGTAATAAAATTTAAAATTACATTCAGCTATACTAACCATGTTTCAAAACCACATCTGGCTGGTGGCTGTTATGCTGGGTAGCATCGCCTTATCTGTGCTGTGTAATAAAAACTTTATTATTTTACTCTTTCGGTTACTTAGTTAAAAACTAAGTATATGCCTATCTGCTAATTATTTACATTAAATTTCTCTGATAAAAAAGAATATTCAACCCTGCAAAAAAAAAAAAAAAAAAAAAAGATGTCAGCCTTAATCCTGTTAATGCCATCATTTTGTTTTTTAAGTGAAAATGAGACAAGATGATGTATTTTTTGAGAGTAGGAAGGCGGTGTTAGGGCTACAGCTCCAGGGGAGGCCTTAAGGCTTCAGCACCCAGCCCCAAAAGACCGAACTGGAAACCATGTCAAGGCAGAGTCCCGAGTGTTTGTGCTTTGAAAATGACAGCATTTTTCACTTAAATTATATATATTTTTAAAGTATATTCTTTCCAAGTGAGCAATTAAGGCAAAATAATTTGGATGCTAATCCCATAATATGTAAATCATGACCTAACATGAACCCTTTCATTGACTTTCAAGCATTTATCTTGGTTTTTACCTTATTTTTAACCAGAGGCATGTAGGTGGTCATATTATAAATATGGACTCTAATCAGAAAATTCAGCCCCCAAGAAAAATGTTTTTTAAACTATCTTCATTTTATTGGGAAATAGCTTTGAGACAGTTTCAAAACCAATTAATAGGACAGTTTCAATAATTAATACATTGCATATTGCTGTCTTCTTAGTGGTTATTCATAGTACAAGATGCAGACATATCCTGTCCAAACACTATTAGTACAAATCTTTCTTCTCATTGAATTAAGCAAAAGTAGCAGTATATCTATCCTATTTTTTATATATATAGATACAAAAATGGTCCTTCATTTGTATCTCCTCCTTTTGTTTAGTTTGCTCAGAGATGGGTATTCCATTGCCATTTAAATATTGTAGGTACGTGAGTTCAACAAAATAAACCAATATAGTCTAGTAGTCCATAATAGTAGTGGGTTATCCATAGGACTGGCAATATCAGAAGTTATTGACTTGAGCCCTTTACAGCTCAGCATATTAATGTGGCTTTACTTTTCATACCTCATTATTATACTTTTCTGCTGGATGGTTAAGACCAAGATCAAGCAAGACCTATGCAACAAGAAATGTAACTTTTGTATCTGACAAGGTCAGTCAAATCCCCTCAGGATTTATCCTGAAGCTC